CACATAAATGGAGCAAACGGCCACTGACACAACATGTATCTTTCAAAATGTTGGGTTTAATGTAGGTTTGACTGAGTTACCGCCCAATTAATAAGACCTGCAACCTTTCTGTCATATTGAAATGTTTGTCATTTAAAGGTGCATTGTGTAACTTTTCTGGTTGGAGGGTCTGTCAGATTCTTTTCTCCATGGAAATGTACTTGCTTTGTCTGAAAAGTTTCACAGTATGACATTAAACCTTTCTATCTTCATGGAGACCAAACCAGACCAAGTTACAGGTCAGATCCATGGAGAGGTGACCCTGCTCACAATCAGAATGCCTGTTTTTCTTGGTATTTTTGAGCTATAAATTCAGCTGTAATTGAATAAATCTAAGGTAGAGCTGTTTAATGTCATACTGTGGAACATTCCAGGCAAAGCAATGACATATCTATACAAACAAGCAGGTGACGGACCCCCAACCAAAACATTACATAGTGCAACATTAAGTTATCATATCAATCAATCAATCAGTTGGTAGTAAATCAAATCAAATCAAACTTTATTTATAAAGTGCTTTTTTAACAAAATGTAACAGAAAGTGCTTTACAGTGATTAAAAACAATTCCACATTTCCTTCTGCCCACCCACCCAACTCCCACACCTGTCCGACCCTACACAACCAAACACAACACACACGCACACTACGCACACACACTCACAAACAGGCACACACACACGAACCCCCTCCCCTCACCCCCCCACCACCCTAATGTGAGGCTGAATACAGGTGAACCAGTTGAGAATGCACCAAAGCACCACCAGAGGAGCTGTCTACACCAGGAGCAGAGAGCTGTCCACCACCACCAGGAACCACCACAGGGCCCAGGTGAGAGATGAGGCCCAAGCATCAACCCTCCACCAGGAGCCCACATGACAGACCCAGCAGTCACAGCCGACCTCCTCTCCTGCTGTAGAAGGCTCCTACTGAGGAAACATTGGAAATCCATAAAATATGCCTAAAATAAATAAATATAAAATGTGTACACTAGAAACAAGTAAAAGTATAAGATTTCAATCAAAAGCTAAGCTAAAAAGGTGGGTCTTGAGCCTACTCTTAAAAACATGAACATTCTCTGCAGCCCTGAGCTCCTCCGGCAGACAGTTCCATAGACGGGGGCCATAATACTGGAAAGACGCCTCTCCATGAGTGTGTGTCCTGACTTTGGGAATTACCAGGAGCCTGCTGCCTGAGGAGCGCAGCACCCGCAAGGGTTTGTAGGGTAGAAGCAATACGGTAGGATATCAATCAGGGGTCTCCAATGTGTAGCTCGGGAGTTGCTCGCCAAGGGATTTCTGAATTATACGTATTGCACTGAATAACTCAAATTGAACACATAAGTATAGTAAATGTTGTAAATGATGCCCAAGTTTGTTGACTTCTAAACAGATAATGGTTAATTTTTATATATATTTTTTAAATTTTTTTATAGTTCATTTTTTATGAAACTGTTGCCTATCTGAGGCTTACTGTGGCGCTTACATTTACTTGACTGTTAAATTAGTAGCCCTCTCTTTTTGTTTTGTAAAAGTAGCTCACCCGAGGAAAAAGGTTGGAGACCCTTGATATAAATATAGACTGTATACATACACACGTACATGCACATACAGCAAACCAGAGACATCACAGCATTCTATAGGTCAATATTATTTAATACAGATATGGGCAGCTAAAATGTATATTGTAAATACAGCCTGGTCGTGAGTCTAGTCATTAATAGAAATGATCACATTCCATATTTGGGAATTTGCCTTTCCGATATTTTGTGGCAAAGTACAATGTAATGAATAGGAGAAACTATAGAATGTGATTATGTCATACTCCCAGATGGGGGGCAAAAGACAAATTTCCCTATTAATAACTTTGTACTTCGTCATGAAGTAATGAGAAAGTTTATTCCCAAATATTCAATGTAATATTTTCTACTGGTGACTAAACCCATTAACTTGCTACAAGAAAAACTTATATTTGAACTGTATTTACTTTTACTTTAATTTGCTCCCATCTGTATTAAATAATATTGGCCTATAGAATGCTGTCATGTCATCTGAAACCCACCAATACAGTTATATAGATATAATAGTAACGTTATGAAATGTTATGTTAAAAATAATAATTCAATGTTAAATGTATTTCTGTAGGGTTTGTGTGTGACAGGCATCATTTCATGTGTTTGGTGGTACTTGCCATGTTTTAGGATGGGCTTCGGCGCAGTGGGTGGGGGTGGTTTTATAACTCTCCGTGTCTCCGATCGGCCTTTTGTTGACAGAAAAAAGAAAAAAATACTATGTAAGTTAAGCATTATATCAGCTTTAAAATCACTTGAATTTAGTTTAGGCTGAGTTCTTCTCTCAGATTGAAAACACTTTGCTTCACCTTCTGATGTCATGTGTAATATGAGAAGTGCTCCACTATGTTTTTAAACTCCACACATCTTCACTAGAATCATTTGGATAATTTCAGCAACTGGAAAACTACCACTACATGACAACGCAAGGTGGAACAGAGCATTTTAAGGTTTGGAGATGTAGATAGAATAATAATTATTATAATAAGAGTTACTCAGACATGTGTGAATGAAACAAAACACAAGTCCAGGTCTATTTTTGAGGAGGGAACAACATTATAACATAGTGTAAAGCTTTTTTTTTTTTTTTTTTTTTTAAATATAAGACTTTTAAAATAACTGAGAAAACTGTAAACTGCATCTACATTAATTCTTTTATATGAATATTTCCCCTATTTCAATAGTGGATGGACTATTTCAGATGAATTTATTCTACATTAAAGGTTTATTGACAGGTCTCATTTCTCATCTTAACTAATACTCACTAACATTTAATTCATCTTATTTGCAAATGAGGCAAATAAACTTCATGAAATGAAACCAATGAAACATCCATAAACTGCTAATGAATCAGGTTAAAGTGCATATGACAGGTTTTCATATTTTCCCAGTTACTTGGTTTAGTGGGATAGTAGCTGTGGTAAACATTTATCACAGTTTTACATTAGTTAAGTGGCACAAAAAGTGGAAAAGAAAGTACAACTATACAGGCTGTAGTGCTGGTGGAATCACAAGGGACATATTAAAGTTTGATTAAACAAAATATAGGTTTTGTCATTCATTTTTATTGGCCTAATCATGACTATTGTGTAATTTAGACACATTTTGTTTTTTGTCAGTTTTGGAAGGTAATGAAGTACAATTACAATACTTAAGTACTGTTCTTAGGTATCTGTAGTTTACTTAAGTACATTTTCCAGAGGATACTTTTTACTTTTACTTCACTACTTTTGAGAGCATATATCTGTACTTTCTACTCCACTACATTTTAAATCTGGATTGAAAAGTAAAAAGTACTTTTCTTTATGGTTTGAGACCTGCTGAAAAAGCTGAGACTTATTTTTCACACATTTAATTGGAGTTGGAGTTAGTATCCCAGCAAACCAAAAACACACAAAAAAAACCAACTAGATAAATTAAAAAATCATTCGAATCACTTAAAATCTGCTCAATTCTTTATCAAAATCATTACATTTGATGCTTTAATTGTTCAAAAACCTCTGCAAAGTTCTTTTAAAGTACATTACAGGTACTTCAATAGATTTTTTCATGTGATACTTTTACTTTTACTTGAGTAATCTTTTGCCCCTGTATCTGTACTTTTACTTAAGTAACATAATTGAGTACTTCATCCACCACTGGCTTTTGTTAACCTTATGGGAGCTTGGTAACAGTTACAGAAATATCTCCAAAACAAAACAAAGAAAGAAGAAAAAAAACTAGGTATGATTTTGAGTAAAAGTGTAAATATAGTTATGTTAAATATGTAGTTAAAAAGTGCTCTTAATATTTTGATGAAAGAAGCAAAACACAACTTCTGATCTGTTGAGGAAACAGAGACCAAAAATAGTAAATTACCATAAGGTTGTTTTAGCAGCTTGTTATGTTTAGTAGCCTATACTATGGCGCCCTCTAGTGTACAGGTGAAATTTATACATTTGGTCTTCTCTCTCTAACAATAATCCTTAATCACAATCAGGCACTGTTAGCACTGGGAGGCAAAATATATAAATAAATCATAAATAATAAATAAAGCCGTATCATCTAACTTTTATGTAACAAATAATACTCACTACAACTGTACAACAACTCATGTAACAGATAATACCTCCTACAGCTGTAAAACAACTCACCCTTATGTAATGGATAACCCTGTTACCCCTGTATAAGTCCTGTCAAACATGATATCATTGTTGCACTTGCATTGTCTTTCTAGGACCTCTTGTATAAAGCCGAGATTTTATATTTTATTACTTATTTTTCTCTTTTATTTTGACTTGTGCATATACATGTCTACAATTATGTCTTATTTCACACCTGTCTCTTGCTATCTTTTTTGCTACTTATTTAGAATTTATTATTACCATTTATATTTTTTACTCTTTGATATTATATTATATTATATTATTAAATATTATAATATATTGTGATGTGTGAGCTCCTGTAATTTCCAAAAAAAAATCCCTTGTGGAAGAATAAAGTTTGTCTAAGTCTAAGTCTAATGTTAAAAGTGTATTTGAGTTTTATATAAAAACGTTTTAAGATAAGGACTAATAAAGTACAGATCGCAGGTGCAGGAATGAGAAACCAGCTGACTTATACACGTGTCATGTGACAGTAAAGGCTCGTATGAGAAGTAATCAGAAAAATTAAATTCTATTCGAAACGTTTTCCGTCTGACCTTTCAACATAAATTCTTTGCCCAATTTTCATCCAATAAGTGTCCGAATATGCTAAACAAGACACACCATATGTATTTATTATTAAAAGCCAACATTTGCTTATCTAGTTATTCATGAATTAAGACTCAATATCGAAAATTCCCGTTCTTAATTTCTTTAGTGCTTTTATTTTGAAGATGCATACATTGTATTGCGATTGCATTAGCGGCAGCGTAGCAGTTCGGAGTCGGGTCAGCTGGTTGTTTGCAGTCATGGTTTAACTAGTGACATTTCCACCGAACTTTAGGGTGAATTTCCCTGACGTTCATGCATTTTAACTCTTTATTCTTGCGTTTTTTCTAACTTAACCCGCGTTTCCTGGTTGATTGCGGGGAAACCAGCTAATGTTTTTAGCCTGTTAGCTTCATGTTAGCTGACAGCGTGGAGCATCCTTGTAGCATATAATTGACACATTCACCGAGGTAAGTTTGCCTCAAATGATTACGCTTTTCCTTATTTATTTTGAGTAAATCGTGTAAGTATGTAGTAACGCTGCAGTGTTGAAACATTGTTCTAAAATAGCAGTCCCAAGGATGCTAACCAACTTAACCAACAACAAAACAACAAATAATATTGTAATGTTAAGGCCATTTTATTTCACATCTGGTTAACAACTGTGTATATCATATTATAGAGACTAAAGTGACCAGGTTTTCAAAATTCTAAATTGGGACAAACCTGGGTTAGGATGGATGGTTGGTATAAATAAATTTGTGAAAGAACGTGTAACATTGTGCATTCTCGTGTCAGTCATAATCTGAGGAGTTTCTATCGCTGCATTTTTTTGCTTTTTGATCACCGTCACTGAGACACTGTGCTCCTATTTACTGTTGGCAGAGATAAGATTTGTAAAAAAATAAAATAAAAATTTGGTAGTCCTGTTTTTATCCTGGTTTAGACCTGATGTAGTCCTGGTTTAATCTTAGTTTAGTACTGGTTTAGTCTTAGTTTAGTCTTGGTGTAAACCTGATATAGTACTGGTTTAGTTTTAGTTTAGTCCTGGTTTAGACCTGGTTTAGATCAAATCGGGACAATAAAAAATTGGGACACATGAGACATTTCTTGTAGGAAACTGAGTCAAATCAAATCAAATATATATCTGCTGGTATAAATATGATGAGACAGGCAAAACAGGGCTCAAAACTGAGACTGTCCCTGGTAAATAGGGACGTCTGGTCACCCTAATAATGACTGCAGTTGTATTACTAAAATAATATTGGACTTCACGCCTTTAGTTTGATTGATGAGTTCGTGTGGACACTAGTCAGCATATGATCCCCCTGTCCTTTGACCAATTTGATCTAACCCAGGTCCAAACCAGGACTACATCAACTCTAAACCAGGACTAAAACAAGATTATCACAACTTTTTACTAATATGATCTTTGCCAACAGTAAAGAAGAGCATAAATTGTTATTTCTTTAACCAAAATACAGAAATCCATGTTTGTGAATGACCATAAAGCAAAAATGCTGTGACAGAAGTCCCTCAGATTGTGACTGATGTGAGAATGCTCAATCTTACACGCTCTTTTCACAATTTTATTTATACCATCCCATCTCAGACAAAAGGCGAGTCTGAGTTTATAATTTTTAAAATCTGGTCACCCTACCCTATCCAAATATTTAAGATGTCGAATGTTAGAACATTTTTAAATTTCTTTTGTAAATAAGACAGGGTTATCAAATGTCTCTCTTTACCTTGGAGAGTCCCAGTTTTGAGCCCTGTGTCCCCTGTCCCAGTAGATTTGTAAAACTGGGACAAATCAGTGGTTTTGTATAACAGAAAAATCCCAGTTTGTTTGTTTGTTTGCTTTTGACCAATCTGATACCATCTATTTAGCTAAAATACAGAAAACTGTACTTGAAAATGACTATAAGGCAAAAAAATGCACCAACAAAAGTCTATACTGACCCACAAGTGAGTCGAGAATGGACAATGTTATGCTCTCTTTTCACAATTTTATTTACACCAACATTCCAACCTGGTGTGTCCCAGTTTTTAACTTTGAAAATCTGGTCACCCCAAAATAAACTTAACTGTTAAACAAAACACATGGAAACTGGCTGTATTAGACCGGTGAAATATGTAAGATCTCAAGGGCTGTGTGGAGTAAAGATGCTACCTACGCCAAGTGTTAAAGGTCCACTGTGTAACTTCTTGGTTGGGGATCTGTTACATCCTTGTTTCTAGGGATATAAGATTTACATCACTTGGAATGTTCCACAGTACATTAAACAGCTCTGCTTTACATTTATTCAATTACAGATGGCTTTATAGCTCAAAAATACCTAGAAAAACAGGCATTTTGACTGTGAGCAGGGCTGCCTCTCCGCAGATCTGACCTGTAACATGATCTGGTTTGGTCTCCATGGAGATAGAAAGGTTTAATGTCATACTGTGAAACATTCCAGACAAAGCAATAACATCTCAAAGCATTTCATGGACCCTCTGCCAAAAAAGTTACACAATGCAGCCTTTAGACCATGTTACAGACATAAAGTGTAATTAGTTTTGCCATTTTTTTGTTCAGATTAGTTAGACTATGGAAGACCTCTATAATCTCCTTTCCTACTGGGAAACACAGCTACAACCTATCACTAGTCACTCTGTTCACATGCAAAAGGAAATATGATTTCACCATACAACCATATTCAAATTGTTTTTACCCCCAAACCTGTCAGACCACATTTGCTCAGGTCTACAGCAGGTCATAGAACCAGATAGTGCGATCTGGGTAGGCCTGTCACAATAACAAGTAAATATAGTTGATTAACGATTCAATTTAAACCAAACCATAAAGCAAAAAAATATATTTTAAATGTACAATATTGTTAAAAACATGAACTGCAATAAATAAAGAATAGAATTAGGGGTGGGACGAGACAAAGTTTCCACAAGACGAGATGAGAAACGAGATTGGGTCCACGAGAACGAGACAAGTTGAGATTTTAACATAATGCATAATAAAAAAAAATAAATTCAGTTAATAATTTTGGCTTCAACATTTATGGTTTATATTTTTTATGTCATTGCATTACAGTTTTTTGGTGCAACAGCTTCCCAAGAAATTGAACTTGCCAGCACTTCCAAAAGTAAAAGCACGGGGGAACAATCTCACAAGATCATTTTCCTCACGTGTGTACAACCTTGTGGTGATTTTTGTCTTGCAAGATCTTGTGGTACGAGATCTTGTCCCATCCCTAAACAGAATGCATCTCTTAAGTTGTTAGTTTTTATCTATAATGAGTCATAAAAGTTCACAGTTCAACCTTGTACAGCTCAATTCTCATCGCAGTACAGAAAAATAAGTGGATATAGTATTTACGGTGACAAGCGTAGAACAGGGGCTATGAGGCGTTCAGGTGCTTGTAGTAATTTAGCATAAGCACTTAAACTTTGCAGCTATAATTACTAATAATTACTCTGTCAGTAAAAGTGTGAAGCAGAGTGGAGCAGAGTTCAGACTTTTGAGGAAGAAACTGTGAAAATCTTTGTGTTAAATGTCCAAAATAGAAATACTGAAAGCCTTTTATTTGTTTTTAATACGACAAAATACAACAAAATTATGATTAAGGAATATAAGGGGGAAATAAAAGTTTTTACTGTTCTGTAGTTACTTTTGATGACTGTGTTTGTGCTGTCTGTAGGGGATCACCAGTGCACCGCTGCCATGGCTGGAGGAATCACAGAGACTGGAGAGCCCTACTCTGCCTTTGTGAGTGTCCGCCATCTTCCTTTATGCAGTTCAATCATATGGCACCCTCTTCTGTGGCGGGATGCTATTGCTAATTCATGTGGCTTTTGTTCAGCTGTTTAAGGCTGACCTACTTTTCCACTCCACACTTTTCAGCTTTCACTATAGGAACAGTTATCACTTCAGATATTGTGTTACTGACTAGTATATATCATAAATAGACTCTATACTCAAAACTGATGCTGATACCACAATGTTAATTAAAAAAAAATAAAAACACTACACATTTAGACAATAGAATCAACATTAAATCATAGTACTTTCTTTAAATTCCTATATGGTCTTATATCTGTGTAATCCCTCAGTGGTCCAGGTAGGTTCCATAGTGGTCCATGGGCGTATACTAATCTGTGTGCTCAGCTCAATGATCATTCTAAAGCTATTCAGGAAAGGTTCATTTCTGTGCTGTGAATGTGACTTTTTTTAGTATCAACACCTGCTCAAATAAGGATCTAGTTTCAGTACTAGTTTTAGTCTTGATTCGTATTTGACTTTCAAATAAAAACACAGAAGGTTAACTAAACCAAAGATGTTCATTTTGTCTTCTTATGTACTTTAACTTCTTGGGTTCTTTTTAAAGACAATAAGACATAAGGTTACAATACAAGTTAAAGGTGCATTCTATTCCATTCTCTGGATATGTCATTGCTCTGCCTGCAATGTTCCACAGTATGACTTTAAACAGACCTCCTTTACATTTATTCATTTACAGGTGGTTTTATAGCTCAAAAATACCTAGAAAAACAGGCATTCTGACTGTGTGTGTGGTCACCTCTCCACAGATCTAACCTGTAACTTGGTCTGGTTTGGGTTTGGTTGGTAACTTGGTTTAGTCTCCATGAAGATCGAGAGGTTACTGTGAAACATTCCAGACAAAGTAATAACATCTCCATGGAGAAAAGCATTTGACAGACCCTCTACCACAAAAGTTACACAATGCAATGCACAATTTAAGATTTATTGTTGAGTTTAGCAATTATTTTGAGTTTTCTTGAGTACGGGATAGGGCTGCGGTTTGAGTAGCAGGTTTAGTTGCAGTCATCAATTTTCAGTTTTAATTTCTTCTTCATGAGTAAGATCATGTAGGAGAAGTGCCACAGGTTTGAACAGGAAGCAGTCTGCTGACACATCCTCTTTAGGCCTCTTTACAATCGGGCTCTGATCGGCTGCTGGGTCAGCAACTGTTCACCACAGAGTTTTACTGCTTACATGCTTTTCTTTTAGTCACAAACAGCTTTTTTATGATTTAAACTAATACTTTGAAACTTATTTAAGCCTAGTGATGCTTTGTAGTGGCATTATACTGAAGGTGTTCTACATGGTGTAATGTTGGATGTAATGGTGTAATGTTGGATGTAATGTAGGAGTTACCATGGTGATACAAAGCACATATTAGCAAACACTATCAGAAAAGTTATAAGATACTCTGAAAACTCAAGAAAAAATGCAAAATGAATTTAAAAAACACATTTTCAGGAGCATGTGATCAAAAAGAGCATTCATGGTTCTGTTTAGGAATTTGGCATAACAAAACTGGACTTTGTTACATAAACTTAAAAAAGCAACTGGTCAAAATGGCTGGTCAAAGATTACATATAGGCAGCAAGTAGCGTTTATACCCCATAAATTAATGGGATTTAAAAATGAATTTGCCATTTCACACAATGACAGAATTTTGGCTTGGTGGATGAGTGCTCCAGTTACTGTTGCCCCTAACTGAATAAGATCAGCATCACTAGACCCAATATAGATGAATTGTAATGTAAGTGTGGAATATTTTAATGCGATTTGATACAAATTCAGTGCATTTATAGCTTTTTCCACAATGAATCCCATTGCTTTAAGTAAGATCTGAACAGTGTAAAAGCCCTTCTGAGCACTGCTTTTGCAAATTAGCGTAGGCTTTAAACACATCTGAGTGCTTAACTGTTAATATATTTGTTTGTTGTATCTGTCCTTCAAATAAACAACAAATAAATAAAATGAGAGTGTGTACTTTTGCTCATATGTTTCTCTGTTTTTTTAGGTGGGGCTCATTTACATGTTCAACCTCATTGTTGGAACTGGAGCTCTGACAATGCCCAAAGCCTTCGCCACGGCCGGATGGGTGGTCAGCCTTTCCCTCATCACATTTTTGGGGTTCATGAGGTCGGTGTTAAGAAACAAATTTGTGTTTTGATCAAGGCTGTATATAAATGGACATGGTTAACCAGCTAGATGCCATGTTCTAAACAGGAAACAAGTATGGGGCTCTTTTCTGGCTCTGATCTTAAAATGTTAGTATTAATCCGCTCTACATGATCCTGATGTTTTATTTTGCTGTGTTGTCTGTAAATACATTTCCATTCCTAATATGGCACTGGCTCCAAATTCACTCCTATAACTGTCAGCCTTGATGAGCTTCATTTGACTGGAGCCAAATGCACTTCTTTACACATTCTATGGTTTTGATAGAAGATATTACAGTTGTATTATATTATGCCTCTTCTTGTTCAGTTACATGACCACGACATTTGTGATTGAGGCGATGGCGGCGGCGAACGCTCAGCTCCGATGGAAGAGGAGAGAACAGGAGGAGGTGAGATCTTCTGTCAAACTCCAGTTAAACATGTCTGATCATCCTAGCAAAAGTAACCCCCCACCCCACCCAACCCTCTTACTGCAAAAGGTTCCAAATATGGCTGGTCATATTGTCACTATTGTTTAATGCAGCTCTATGCTCAAACGCAAACACATTTCCAAACCTTCTCCTTTTGGTGAACCTCCCTTAGGCTCTGAGTGAGTGACAGCTGGAATTAAAGAATCATAGTGAAGTCTGAGCGAGTTTACATGAAGTGATAAAATATTAAAATTATAACTCTTAAGAAAATGTTATACATTTTTTTTTATCATATCGCCAACCCTTAGGTTTAAAGATTCTTTATTACGCAATAATGATTCTTGTGAGCTTTAATCCATGTTATAATGCTGTTACCTCATGACAAACATACCTGGAGTTGTGTTTTTGTTTCATTCAAAAATGTTTGAGTAATCTTTTATTATTAGTTTGTCTACATCTTCAAAGCTCAAAATGCTCTGTTCCACCTTGTGATGTCATGAATCGGTAGTTTTCAAGTTGACTGCTCCTTTTACCTTTTATTTAGTAGAGACGGGCAATTCCAAGTCTGAAATCCTCCAAATGATTCTAGTGAAGGTGTATGTACTTTAAAAACACAAAGCACTTTCTGTAATACCACATGTCATCACAAGTGAAACAGAGTGCTTTCTGAGAAGAACTCAGCCTAAATATGCATTGTTTGAGTGTTTAAAGATGTGTGAATGAAATGAAACAAAACACAGCTCCAGGTATATATTTTTGATGAGGAAACAACATTATAACAGCAATCAGAAAATGGCGTGATATGGGCCTTTCTCTGGAACATCCCGGGAAAAGCGATGACATCTTTAATAACATCCATTCAATTTGCGCTTTCAATTTGACTGTGATGAATCTTGCAACCTAGTTTAACGTGAACGTGTAGTTTAAAATGCCTGAATAATTCATTATATAGGCCCTTTAACATTGCATGTTTGGCTTCCTCTCGTTGCTGTTTGCTTTAGGAAATCCTCTATTGATCCAGCCATAAACTCCCTTCTCTAATATTTGACATCGTGAGCTTTTGTTTTATCGCTACAATATAAACCATCTTTTTTTCCCCTCATGTGCATTCACTCTTCTCACTCCATTTTAAAACACCTCAGCGCTTTTTTCCATTTTGGGAGTTATGGGCCTGGGGACAAAAGCTTACCCTGATTCATAGCTCTGCTCTAAAGTCCGCAGCATTTCTGTTCTGAATAATGGACAAGGAGAGGGCAGAGCGGAAATGTCTCCGACTGATGGCTGGGGTAGTTTTCCTGAGTGAGGAGTTGCATTAGAAATAAAACAGGTGATTCACATTGATGCATGAAGTGTTCATCAAGAAAATACCAATGCTGTTTGTTTGTTCCAGAGTAAAAGACCGGGCTATTAGACAAGAGGGAAATAAATGGAATATTTGATGAAGAAAGCTGTGACAAACTAAAATAGCTCATTTCAACAATAGATGAGACTGCCCTCTAGTGGTAATTCAGAGGAGAACTTTAATTTTAATATTCATACTTTCAGCTTCCTGTTATGCAACGCTTCAATGTTCTTCCCCATTAAAAAAACAAACAAAAAATGTTTAAATTGTTAATTGCTATGGTTCTTAACACATGGATAGGTTATGGTAGAGCTGCAAGATTAATCCCAGTTACATACAGAAATGGATATGTCATATTGTGACCAACCTGGGACCTCCCATTGTGAAACTGTATTTGCTTTAGGGATGGGACACTAAACAATAATATCATTGATCGTAATAAAAAGGGTATACAATAATTGTTCATGGCACATTTTATATCCTCCTGAGACCTGGCCCATTAATTTGTATGCTTTATAGTGGACATTGAGTTAACCTGTCTGTCTTTTGTGTTTTGTGTTTCTCTGCCTAAATAGGGCTGGGGTATTGTAGGGTACGATCATGTCCAGCATAAAAAAAAACCAAAAAAACACCTCAATAGGAATTAGTTTGTGGCTGCATGATGATTTAAAAAAAAAAAAAAAAGAAGAAATTAAACGGGCATCTAAAAACTTTTTGAGGTGACTGTAGAAGCTTATCAGAGATGTTGGTGATAAGAAAAATATATATTTTTGTCAGATTGTTAACTTCACATAGATGTAACACCAAAATGCCCCCGGCGTCCATTACAGAGGACATGTTATAAAATTATAATTAAAAATAAAATGAACAAAATCTAAATGCTAAGGTGTACATTTACCTCCAAATAGTTAGAAAATCACACAAAAAATATATATTGCAATACACTTTTTTTCTTCAGGTCCCAGGAGGATATAATTGTGATAATCGCCAACAAAGATAGTCCGAATTTAATTCAGTTAATTTAATTTCAATCTAATCTTTATTAAGAACACATAATATCTGATTCATAGTAACTAAGTATAAAAAAATTGTAACACAAAAATGCATGTTTTAGTGTACAGTATACAGACAAGACTGCCACTGTTTCCACATGTTGGAGGTGAATCTGGCAGATCTCCTCAAAGGACACACTAGAGCTTGAATGATTTGATTATTCAAATTCATGGCTCGACACATAAATCAATAAATTCAATATTAAATCGTGATCAAACAGGATCTCACACCACAGTTTACAAATATTTCACTGGCACTAGAAATCCTCAGTGCTTTCAGTAATATTCTCAAAGAGTCATTATAGGCCACTCTCATACTCTGCATTACGGTAAATGGGTAAATAGTCACATTTTTATACAGCGCTTTTCCACCTTCAAGGTACTCAAAGCGCTTTACAACAAGAAACCACTCACCCATTCATACACTCGTGCACGTGGGAACTGTCACCAGAATGTATTGTTTTCATTTACAGCACAGTACATTACAATAACAGTTTAAATATGGAACCTATTGATAATATTAAAATTAGGATTATTCATAACCATAACATAACAGACATTAATAATTATCATGATATAATTGTTAATTACAATTGTTATTTTCGCTATGATAATCGCAACACCAAATTTCATTATTGCCCCTTGCCTAATTTCCATTTGTCATGATTTCAAGTTGCAAAATATTTAAAATCGGATTACATTTGATTTATTTGAGCAGTTTGTTCTGTTACTTGATTTAGTAACTAAAATATACTGTTTTCAATTAAAAACATACGAAATACGGTCTCAAAATGATATCTTTCAGGTTATCTTGCGACCCAGAAATTCATGGTGTTCTTGTATTAGTTACCAGTTACCACATCCATGCTTATTATTGTAATATTCCTGCTTTAATACAGTTTTTTTTTCATATATTTTCATTGTAAACTTCCTGAACATGAAAAATTTCCAAATCCGATCATGAAAAAAAAGTGTCATTTGTATAAAACCATATGAATTGCGTTTGTAATTTAAGTTCATGTGTGTCTCTTTGCAGACTGATGAAAGCGACTCTACCTCCGATTACTCAGACGATGAAGTCATAACCAGGGGAAGATCAGAGCCAGAGACCAAACCCATCCTGTCCATCCGTGAGTGTCCTCCACCTACCTAGAAATGTGCCTCTTTTTATATTCTTATTAACATCATGTCAAATACAACAAAAGCAAAGAAGTCTGCTGAAGGTGTGGTGTAAAGTTTGGATTCTTCTGTAGTTTTTCTGTGAAATCCATTCTAAACATTCAAACCATGCATTTACTTCTGTTTTACTGCCCCAATAACTGAACTCATATGTCAGTGTTATCATTTCTATATCACGGCAGTACCAAGATGGCCGTAGCAGATGTAATTTATAGGTGTAGGATTAGGGATATGTCCTTATCGACTCCATAAAAATGAAAAAGGGTCTGATCTATATTATAATGTTGTTTCCTCATCACAAACAGACCTGGAGTTGTGTTTTGTTTCATTCACACATGTTTAACACACAAACCCTGCAGATTTAGGCTAAGTTCTTCTTTCAAATGGAAAACACAGAAAATACAGGAAGTATTCACTAGTACTTCACTAGAGTCATTTGAATGATTTCAGTCCTGGAACTACCGATCTCTATTGTGCTGAAAGTAAAAGCTAGTAATAAATAATAAAGGATTACTCAAACATGTGTGAATGAAACAAAACACAACTCCAGGTGAATTTTTGAGGAGACAACAGTATTGTAACATGACTTAAAGCTCTTTAAACTCAATTCTGTGTAATATCAGACCCTTTAAAGTAACGTATGCATATATTTCAAGACTATAAAAATGTAAACAAGACCAAAAGTGATTGTAATACATGTCTCCTGGTTGGTCAGTTTCAAAGCAGATGAACTGTTGCTGTTGCTCCGGCTGTGTGTGCAGCAGCCCTCCAAATGACATAGAGATTTTATATCTTAAAGGTAATCAATATGAGCCTCAGTCTACAATATTTAAAAGGGTGGTTAAGTGCTTAGCCAAGTCGTGAATCTTTGTTTTTCTTCTGTTAAACAAGCTACAGTCTACACAATTCATTCAAAGCGCATTAATGGTATGTGGTGTGTGTTCTGTAGAGAGAATGCCTATCCTTGGGTTTCAGGCTTTCTGTTTATAGGTGCCATTTTGAGGACCTTTCACTATTCAAACAATATTATTTAGGTTTTGAATTGTTAATTGCCATGGAAACTTTTTCTTTAATCTCTCTGAAACCCATGGATAGAAAATACAGTTGCTTCTCCTGTTTTTGAATTGAACTTATAATTCTGAATGCATGAGTTTGAAGTGGTTTTGCTGCTGGTCTATTTGTCATTTTCAAATTATGATAAAAGATCCTGTTTTATGCATTATTCAGGGTTCTAAAACTACTTTTGGACAACTTAGTCTTTGTATTTTATGATTTATTTATGGATAACTAGTAAATGTATTTAAATCTCAGTCAAGCTTTGATTCCACAGTGATAATATTAACACTCCTTTTGCAGATGATGCAGTTAATTACTAGGGGTGGGACGAGACGCAATTTTTATGAGATGAGAGACACCACGAGATTAGGTCCACGAGCTCGAGACAAGCAATGATTTGTACATAGTTTGCAATAAATAAGTAGAGCAATACATTTCACAATTTTAGCTTCACTATTTTTATTTATTTTATGTAATGCTTATCAGTTCTTGCAGTACTGCTTTTTGGAACTACAGCTTCTCCAATTATGTAGCTCATCAGCTCTTAACTAACATTAAATTCATGGAGAAAAGATCTCACGAGATTCTTTTCTTGTGTGTACAATCTTGTGCCAATTTGGTCTTGCGAGATCTTGTCCCATCCCTATTAATTACTAAACCCCCCCCCCCCCCCCCCCCCCAAAAAAAAGTACTCTATTCAAGATTCAGGCATTCTGAGTTTAAAGGTTCATTCTGTAATTTTTTCAGTGGATGGTCTACCAATTGCTTTTCTCCAAGGACATATTTAGGCCCAAGCGGCAGAGGCTGGCGAAGGGCCTATTAGTATCGCAAAGCGATGCTCCAAGTGGCCCAAAAATGGAATGGTGCGACGTGACTCACCCGTAGTGACCAGGGACCCTCACCATCACGTAGCAATGTGCCAGAGGTTTCCGAAAATGTATAGTTTGTCGGCCAAAAAAAAGCGGAACATTGTTCTCGTATCGGTTGATTATTCTCCTAACCAACTCACCCATTTTTCACCCACTGAACAATGACAAAAAGTCCTGAAATTTTTCCATCTGGTAAATCTCGCACTTCTCTAACTTTTGGCTATTTTCATTTTCCAAAAATAAATAAAATGGCTCGTCAGCGCCCCCAAACGACTCAAAAATGCATTAGGGAATACGAATGACACAAAAAAAATGTTGCATGTACAATCATAAAATTTGACAAAGAAGTCGATCATGTTAAGACAAGGAAAAAATATTATTACGCCAACACCGTGCGCTCCACTAGGGGCAGTAATATTGGCTTAAAGTTGGCTAAACTTTTACGAACTCCGAACAAGCTCAAATTTGGTCCACATTATCTCAAGACGTGGAACATCAAAAGTTATCCACATTTTTCACACATTTTTCTCTGAGCAGTGAAGCAACAAAAAATGCACACAATTTGAGATATTTACAAATTGCTCCCATTTGCTCAAACGAACTCCGATTTCAATGAAATTTAAAACAGTTGTTAAACTCTCTGCCTTGAAGCTACTTACTGTGAAAATTATTAATTTGGCGCTTTAGTGCCCCCTATAGATTGAAACAAAATTTAATATGTGAGAAAATCATTTGTTCCCAAATAGTTGTTCAAAAATTTCTGAAATTTTGCACAAAATTCTATTTTGGCATCCTGATCCAAAAGTCAATGACATCCATGTCATATTTTTTATGGCGTTGCCATAGCGATGACATAAACTCTCCATTGGTAAAATCTACAAATTCTGGCACAAACTTTGGCCGATTTCATGAAAATTTTAATCCCGGGTTCACACCCCGACCCTGAACAGATTTATATAAGAAAATCTCAGGTGGGCGCAATAGCGCCCCCTAGGAAAATTGCACAGTAGTGCCAAAATTTACTTTGTCGTAGACATATAAAATTTCGTACACAGATTCATGACATGGTCTTGATCAAAAAAGTGTGGACGACCCCATGCCATTTCCCCATCGTGTTGCCATGGTGACAGGTTAAACATCTGACCTCGCCAATAGGACGCCCAACAAAAACTTTGGTGTAGCCAAACCAAATTTGGTACACAGATGCATCATGGGAATAGGAACAAAAAAGTATATTACGTGGTTGCTAGGCAACCAACAGGAAGTATCGTCTAGACAAGTGGGACATTAAAAGTTGTTAAAAGCTTTTTAAAAGGTCAAACGGTGTTGCCGTGGCAACGGTGCAAATTTCGGGTTCGTTTTTAGGGCTCACCATCAAACTTCAACGACTGATAATTTGCACAAACTTTGGCCGATTTCACTAAAATTTAATCCTGCGTTCACCCCTCAACCCTGAACAGACTGATTTAAAGAGGGTGCAATAGCGCCCCCTAGCAATTTGCACAAACTTTGGCTGATTTCACAAAAATTTTAATCGTGGGTTCACACCCCGACCCTGAACAGATTGATGTAAGAAAATACAAAAATGGGTGCAATAGTGCCTCCTAGAAAATTTGTATGTAAAAATAAAGTTTTATTTGTCACAGATATAAAACATTTGGTACCCACATTTGTGACATGGTCTCGATTAAAAAAACTCAATGATGCTCACCCCCCATTTACATTGTGTTGCCATGGCAACAAGCCAAAATTGTATCCTTGCCAATGGGACGTCCTTACACAAACGTTAGCGTAGCCAAACCAAATTTGGTAGCCAGATGCATCATTGCAATAAGAACAAAAATGTATATTGTGACCACGCCTCTTTACAAACCGGAAGTCCGCCATCTTGGATAATTTTTTTTGCCAAATTTTGAAATATGCAGGGTTAGATTAAAACTTATAGGTTTAGGGTTGGGGCTATGGTTGGGATTACGATAAGGGTAAGGTTTAAGATTAGGTTTATTAGGGTCAGTGTGAAGTTTGGCATTTGCGGGGCGCACCGTTTGCGGGGCGCGGCGTAAGCACGCGCGAGGGCCGATCATTGCCGCTTGCGGCTATATTATGGCTTTGTTTTTTTTCCTAGAATGTTTCACAGTATGGCATCAGTCTTATCAGTCTTCATGGAGACAAGCAGGTGATGCCACAAGCCTAGTCACAGGTCAGATCTGTGGAGATGTGACCCTGCTCACAATAAAACAAGCATGTCAGTATAAATATAAGACGGATATGTTCAGTGCCACACAGTGAATCATTCAAAGCTTAGGAACAGGGCTGTCAAAAGTATCCAAATTGTACTAATCGAGACTAAAACTAGTATCGAAATTAGAATACACATTTGAGCGGGTATCAATACTAAAAAGTCAAAGTCACAGGACAGAAATAAAGCGTTCCTGAACAGCTTTTGAATGATCTTGAGCTGTTTCAGAACAAGCATAAGAGCAGATTAGTATATGCAGAAATGCTGTAAATCAAATTCTATTGTATAATAAAGAGGTTTTTTTATTATCATTGTGGTGTCAGAATCATAGTTTGAAATTTGAGTATCGTGACAACACTACATAGAAACAACATCTACCTTACCCAAGTTACATAGTGCAGCTTTAATTCAGTATTCTAGAAGTTCTTTTTTGCAGTGCTCTGGTTCAAACGGTTGTGTGCATTTAGCTCTGAGCCTCACCTCACTCTCCCCCTCCAGAGCGCTCCGGAGGTCACACGGATCATTTCGACATCGTGGAGAGGGTCGAGATGGGGCAGATGGCTTCAATGTTCTTCAACAAAGGTAATCTACCAACCACCTCCCTCATCGCTAACTCACAAATCACACGACACAGGAGAAAACGCTGCAGCTACTGTGGTCTTCTTTAAAGGGCCCTTATTACACTGTTTTCGGATTTGTGTTAGAATGCTGTTTCTTCATCAAAAACAAAGTTGTGTTGTTTCATTCACATGTTTAACACAAAAAAATATTTAAACTGAGCTCTTCTCTCAAACTGAAAACACTCAGAAAGATTTAAGACTGTAGTACAAAGTAAAAGATGATGAAAGAAAATGATGATAGTATAGTGACAAAAAATGTTTATTAAAAATTTGGGAAAAAAAGAAGGAAAGGAAGGAAAATTTTATTATAATGGACCAAAATATAAATGTAAGGAGTATGCAGTATGGCTATGCTGCACTACCACATTACTTTTATTTTTATTTATGTATTTTTGTGGGGAAGAGGTGGGTTAGGGATGAGGAACTTTGTTGTTTTTCTGGCTTGTTTTATGTTTTTGCGTCTGGTTTTCATGTTTATTATTGTATTTAATTGTATTTAATTTGTTATGTTCTATTATAAGGCTGTGCAATTAATCAAATTTTGATCGCAATTTCGATTTGTGTATCAAACAATCTCCAAACTCATATAATCAAGTTGAAATGATTTACATGCCTGCACAAGTGAGGACTAGGGTGCAATGACCGTAGTTTTGTGAGGAATCACTTGGTGCCCTCGCAAGCACTTGGTGCCCTACACACTGTGCGTAATGGGAGCTACCGTACTGATTAATCAGCTCCATAAACTCACGAAGGAGTGTATCGTAGCAGGACTCATATCTACCTCACTAATAGATATTTCTGCTGTTGGACTTACTTCCTCCGCTAAAGCATTAGCTCTGCTGCCACATGTAAACAAACAGCGCCATGTGATGACATCTTTGGCTGTGGCCCGGGTCGATTGTGCAGGTTTGAGTGCGGAACGTAGAACCCACAGCAGTTGTCCTAGTGTGAGTGCATCCTATAGCTATAGCTATATTTTTCAATATAGAGAATGTAGGACAGCTGGATATATAATTTTTTGGATACAGTTTACTTTTTACTTTACGTTTATGCCTTATTTCATGTTCAAAGTATAATTTATTCATTTTATGTTTTATACATCGCAAAACTGCTCTAAGGTTCATATTTGTGGCCTATATTTATCAGGTTGAAAGTTTTGCATAAATGATCAATAACAAAGTGTTTTTGTTTAGAATCATTTGAAACATTTCATAATTTCAAGCTTGTAATCTCGACTGTAACCAATCTCGACTAAACAAAAAATAAAAAGTAGCGGTTTACCTCTTCATGATATCACAAGGTGGAGCAGAGTATTTTGAGCTTTGGAAATGTAGACAGACTAATAATAAAGGATTACTCATGTGAATGAAACAAAACACAACTCCGGGTATGTTTTTATCGAGGTGGCAGCATTATAACATGGCTAAAAGCTCACAAGAATCCATTTTGTGTTATATAGCACCTTTAATGTCTTATCTCCACAAAGACACCAGGGCGAAAGCTAATTGAATGTAATCATGTTTGGATAAATTGGTTCTGGGTATTATCGCCACAGCGAGGCCCCATTGAGGTGGTTAATGTCACTGTCATTTTCCCCTTGAACGCAGTGTACTTTCTCATATGAGCACTGTCTGCTGAAATTAAACCTTTTTGAACCATGTAGCAGTGGCACAGAGCAATGATAAGACCTACGCATTTGTATTATAGCTACAATAACTCAGGAATTCACTGTTATTTAGGATCTTAGGTTTGTTAAACTTGGAGTGAAACTACGATTGTGTTGGCAACAGTTCTAACAAATATAACAAGATTAGATCAGTCTCATTGTGGATAATTGGGTTTGTTTGTTGTTTGGAACATTTCTTTTGGCCATGATTCCTCCATTTGATACTTGGCAGCTGATGTCATCAACATTCCCTGGCAGTGTGATGCTAACTAGAGGCTCTGATCTGTCTGAAGCTCTGTTACTCAAATTAGACTTCAATCTGAGTTTTAACACAATCTAACCATAAAGAACTGACTTAGCTGGAACTACAAAAGGTGAGCTGATTTGTGCTGTTAAACACGTCTCTTACACAGAAAATTACACTTACGATTACAATCAGAAGCTACGCCAAGCTACCAACACTTACACACATTCCACTTTCATTCTAGGCAATTTGGGTGGAGTGTCTTGCCTAAGGAGAGTTTTTTATCAATGTGGCAGCACCTGTAATTCCCAGTGGTCTCCCATCCAGCCCTGCTTAGCTTCTGTCCACCTAAATGTAACCTTGAGCTTGTATTGCTCACAGACTCCTGAAAGTGAGTTGTTTGAATCCATTTAGCATTTTTTCTTGAGTTTTCAGACAATGATAAAAACATTTTTGCAGTGTTTGTTAATGTGTGCATTGTGTCACCACAGCTGAACATTCATGCAGAAACTTAACATATTTGCTAAAACCTAAAACTGACATTGTAATATCTTTATCAAATATACACACACTTGATAATCAGCTGTATGTATAAACATCAATATCTCGAGCTTAAGTTTTTTCTCAACCCGAAAGTGAACTCAGTACATCCTTTGCTCTTGACTGAATCCTTATTTCCTGTTGTGTTTTTAGATGATTAGGGCGTCAGTTTTTTCTGTATTGGTCTTGTCACTGCTTTTCAAATTTGGTAATTTGGTATTTCGAAATCCAAATTCACATTTCAAAACACTACTATCTCTGTTATGTATATATTTGCCTTGCACAGTCTGTTTGCTTGCTTGTTTACTCTGACTCCTTTGAGGAAGCTTCTGATTTGTTATCAGTGATACTGCCTGCCCTTGGTCAACATGGACGCACTACAGATCACGACCACTAGATGTAGCACTTGCAATGTGTTCTTATGGCTTGCACATATGTCTTCATTGACGAAAGGGGACAGAGGAGGCAAAGAGGTAAAGAGAGGAGGAAATAAAAAGCTCTAGAAACATGAGACTGAAAAGGTCAAACATTGAAATAGATCCTAGTGAAGGAAATGTGAAAGTGAAGCAATTAAGGAGCTGCCACATACTCTGATACTATTGTCTGCCCTCTACCTAAGTTTGCCTTTTTATGTCTCTCTCTCACATAGGTGGGTGGTATGCCAAAAAAATAATATCTATATATAATATAATATTTTTTTAAGAGCCAGATCACAATTTCAATTTGATCACAAGTCATATTTCACAGTCTTTAAGGGGCAACTAAAGCCATCAGCTGTTTCTGAAAGTTCACTCTTCACTGCGGTAGGCAGGAATACACTTACCCAGCTTTTTCAGTTCTGATACCCATATCGAGACTTCGTCTATCTGCCGACAACTGATATTAACAGATTCCAGTGAAGGGATGGAAAATGGCACGAATTTCCTTAAACACAGTTAACTTATTTCACAAGACACCAATTCAAACTTTATTTATAAAGAACTTTTTATACAAAAATGTAACCCAAAGTCCTTTATAGACATTAAAAATAGTTCCACATGCCCCTCCACCCCACCCCCAAAGGCTAGGTTATTTACCCTTAAAGTAACTACTAGCAAGCTTTGTATTAATAAAAGTTATTTAACATGACATTATGAAATGTCCTTGGACAAAATCAGCCTGTAAATATTCTCATAACATCCGATTAAAGGCATCCAGAATAACTTTTATCAGGTCATCAACTGATATCAGGGAACTGATACTCAATCCAGCAAATTTGTCAGCACTGACGCTGATATTACATTCCAGATTGGCATTGGTGCACCCTTAGTGATTGGTTAAATCCATCTGTCAATTTTTTTTTTCAATGACACCACAATGTGATGTTTCGGGTCAAGCCCTTCTTCAGACATGAAAGGTTCAGATTCACACCTGGAAGAATCTATTCAACAACTGTAATCAAAAAACTTTCTCTTTAATTGGGACTGATCAGGTGGTGGGTCACGTGACTAGACCTGGGCCTATATGTAACAGGAGTGGAACGGAACCTTTCATGTCTGAAGAAGGGTTTGGCCCAGAATGTCAAATTGTGATGTCATAGAAATAAAAAAATTGGGAGCTTCAGAGAATTGCAGTGTGGATCTCTTTCTTCATTTTTGTTTTTGGAGCCAGAACGCAGTCGCAGTTTTTGTTGGATGTGCATGTCTCCATTTACCAGTATTAAATCCACCTGTCATTCACTCAGAGAGGCAGAGGCTGACCACTAGGAGGAGTGGATGGTGAGAAGTGAAAAAATAACAAAAATAGCTAACATCACAATTCTATTTTTTATTTTTTGACATATAAATACCAAACCTTTTTACTCACTCAATAAACTCTGTGTAGAATTCATCAGCGTTACAAAGTCATTTTGGTACAAAGCAAATAAAATCCGTTGCTCATTAGTGTGATCTGAGGTGCCGACTCTCTGTTGTGGTGACGTTTACGGCAACACCAGCTCCCACTGGGCACCAAGACAGTGGACTTATTCATCTAAAACAACTTAATAAAGGAAATATTGTGATTTAAATGATAATGGTCCAGGGTTGTCATTGATTATCTCTACATAGCAGACACAATATGCGTTCTTTTAAATGGAGAAATGGTGAATCATATATATGGCAACATGACAAAAAAACAAAACAAAAGACAAATCCTCACAGAGATCACGATTCCATTTTCATTACCCAGTCCTATGGTACAGCGCTGTATATTTCCCATTTTTCAATATATCTCCCACCCCTGCTGCCACTTGCGCTGACACTGAAGGAGCTGTCTGCCCTCCACCTGAGTTCTCCTTTAATGTCCTCTGTCACGTGCACACAGGTGAGCCACGTGCGCGCCCATCGATCCCTTATAAGGACGTGTCTCTCTTGCCCCCCCCCTCCTCGCCCTCTTCCCCCCTCCCCCTCCCCCATCCTGTGGGGCTGTTGGCTCCAATCACAAATGAATGAGATCGGCACGGCGCCCGATCACAGCTCCTCTATCTGCCCTC